CTCCATTCTCCTCTTGGGACTTTGGACACACACACACACACACACATGCCCAACGAGAGTTTAAGCCACCAGGTCTGGGACTAGAACCATGGTGGACAATGTGGGAGTCCACAGACATAATCTTTACGCCATCTGGTGATCCGGGTTGAGAATGAGTTCTATTGAGCCCATTCTCCCAAGGGCCTCTGGGTCCAGGGAGGGCGGCTGACCTAGGTTGGCCTCCTTACAGGTGGCAGCTGAATACTTCAAGAACACCACGCTGCTGCTCGTGGGGGTCATCTGCGTGGCTGCGGCCGTGGAGAAGTGGAACCTGCACAAGCGCATCGCTCTGCGCATGGTCCTCATGGCCGGAGCCAAGCCGGGCATGTAAGTCACACGTGGGGTGCGGGCAGTCGTGCATCCCTCCAGCTCCCAGTGTCACAGGAGGACGCGGGCTCCAGCCCGTTTTCCACTAATGGGGTAGAAAACATCAGGGCTATAGGACTGCCACCTCCCTGTCCAGTGAGAGGGCCTGTGACCACGGCATAGAGATTTGTATCTATGGCCTAGGGTCAGTGTCATCCCAATCTAAAGAATTTACCTGAAACCTAGACTGCCAGGCAGCTGGTTACAACACTTAAGAGGTTCATCATGCAAAACAAGTTGGACCAACTGAAATTATTTCCCAGCCATTTCTCTGCATTAGACAACGGGCTGGACGAGGGAGTGGGTGTCTTCTTTGACAATGACGAAGACATGGATGTTTCCTCCCAGCCACCCTGGGTGTTTGTCATCCGTTCGGATCACAGACTCAGTTAGACATGTTGCATCTGGCCACACACACCCTCAGCTGCTTCCTCCTTCCCTTCTGCTGTCAGGAGGCCAGGCAGGAGAGTCCCACCCTCAGGGAATGTGCCGGAATGTCAGGGTTGACAGTTTTAGGTTCGCCCCACTGCTGCTCTCTCTGTTCCCCTGACCTTATTTTCCCTTTGGGATGTGGTTTTTATCTTCCATTGTGTTGTCAGAAAAGTCATGACGCATTTCACATAGAAAAACAGAAAAAATACATCATGGCTCTTTCGACAACCCCACAGATTACAACTTTCTTGCTACACTTCATATAAATTAAGCAAGTAGAGTATAAATAATATTGTGTTCGTTTTCAAACTTCACCCATTTAGCTGAGTGGAGGTCACGCTTCAAAGCATGTCCCTGTCTCCCAGATGGTCAAGTGGGCCTGCTAACAGCAGCTCAATGCATCCACCTTGCCCAGTAATGGTCTTGTGCCCACACTCAACCTAGGCACACAATGGCAGCTCCTCATAGCATGTTGGAGCTCTAGGCCCTTTCAGACCTGTCTCCTGTCTTCTAGAACTTTTCTCCATGTGCGTTTTCATGCTTCCCTATTACCTCTTCCCCCAGCAAGTCTCCATTCCCCGTGGTGCTGCCTGTGCTAAGCAGGGCCGGAAAGCTCATGTCGCTGTCAGCCTAGACAAAAACCATCAGGACTGGGCCCCACCTGGACAACCCACGTGATAAATATACTGTCCCCACATTGCGCAGTCAGTGAATCCACCTAATACAATAAGCATGGTACTCTTTACGTTGGCTTTTCTTACAGAAACTAGAACCGGGTCTGCATAGGCACAGGTTGCACGTTTTCAGGCGGAGAGAAAGAACTTCTGGGTTATCTTAGTGTTTTCCTCCAAGCGATGAGACTGCCAGATACCAACTGGCAAAGTGCATGCCAACATGCTGTAGGACTGCAGTTCCAGCATGCTGGCAGGAACGAGCAATGGGCAGAACCGTGTGCTCCGAACATGCATCTCTTTGTGGTCCCTAATAGCTACAGTGACTGGCTGCAAAGCAGGGAATGTAACGGCACGCACAGAACTGCTGGCTGCAAGGGCAGAACAAATTCGCTTAGACCAGAAACCATGCATCATAACTGAGCTCCAACTGCTGTCTTCTCAGAGGGAGAAGAGCAAGCAGTGTGACCTCACTACCAAAGCTATTTTTTTGCTTAAGTACGGGCTTTTTCCTGGCTAAGGCCACTGGCCCATGAAGTGCAATTCATTCATTCAACAAATATTGATGTACTGCTTACTCTGCCAAGTACCGGGGGTGCAGAGCTGAATGTCACCCTGTAGGATGTAAAGACCCAATTTTCTGGGTGAATGCAGCCGTGGTTCTCTAGGCCCACACCACTGGGTTGGTAAGAGGTCCCAGGAGGTGGACACGCTGTGGAAGCCCTGCTCTGCCCTGCCCTCCCCTGCCCTGCAGGCTGCTGCTCTGCTTCATGTGCTGCACAACACTGCTGTCCATGTGGCTCTCCAACACGTCCACCACCGCCATGGTGATGCCCATCGTGGAAGCCGTGCTGCAGGAGCTGGTCAGTGCTGAGGAGGAGCAGCTCATGGCGGCCAATGCCAGCTCCGAAGAGGCCGAGCCCATCAGTACAGTTTGCTAAAATCCTTCCTTTTGCTCCTCCTACCTCCTCCTCTTGCCAACCTTTTCAATTACTTCCCAACCTGGCATCTACCCCATGTCCCTGCTCTCATCTCCTTTCTCTTCCCTTTCCCCTCTGTCCCATACCAGCCCTCGTAACCTGAAGCTTCCCTTATCCTGATTCGCAGCTTGCTTCCTCCTGCATCGCCCACTGCTCCTTGCCCCCGGTGTTCAAGGGTTACTGCAAAGCCCTGGGGCCTGTGTCCACAGGCAGAGGGAAGGGATACCATCCTCCACCACATCTCCAGCCCTATCCCTGAGTCCCTGAACTAGGCTCTGACCACAGGGTCAGCTCCAGCCTCCACATCTCATTCCCTACTTTGCTTTGCTGCTATAGGCCTGGATGTCAACAACAGCCAGCCTTCTCTGGAACTCATCTTTGTCAATGAAGAGTGAGTAGGACCGTCCTTCTCCCAGAGAGCTCTCAAAGGCTGTCCTATTCCCTTCTGTTATTAATTACAGAAAATGCCTGAAACTCTATTGCAAATATAGAGCTATATTTAGTTTCCAGTTTGAAGGTAGGTCCAAGGTCCAGGGGTCACAACTGGTGGGGGTCTTACAGAGTTCTGAGACATCACACCATGAGGCAAGAATGGAGCTTCTGTGTCATCTCTGCCTCACTCCCTCTCCTTATAAACCCACCAGGAGTCAATCGCCGGGGCCCCACCCTGATGACCTTCATCCTAATCTCTTCCTAAAGGCCTCACTTTTCAATACCGTAGTCTGACTCAGTTTTTACTCTCTTAACCCCATCACAACCAAATGTCAAGACATGAATTTTGGGGGAACATATAAACCATAGCAGAGCTCATTGGAGAGGTTAGAAAAGATGGGTTCTTAACCCATAAACAGCTCTTTACATGTATGGCAAGCTCATCATCTTTCCATGTCACCCCCTCACCCTGCCCCATGTCTTCTCCTTACCTGGGAGCCACTTGCCAAAATCTTAAGGAAGATTCCTTTAACCACAGGGTAGTGCAGAGATGCAGAGGAAACAAAGACTGCACTGAATCTGCATGGATGGATGAACTGTCCATACATTTACCAAGTGGAATTTCACCTAAATCGATGTCCTTCTTGGGAAACTAATGTTTATTCTATTCATGAATTAACATATAATAGTTGTCACTGAAGGTTCTTGGAGAACCACAGAATATTTTCGATACTGAATATGGTCTTACTAAGTTTGATCATGTTAGATATGGCAAAGAACAATTAGGGGACTGGTAGAGAACTAGGGAATAGCTGGTGAGAGGGCCATGTGATGGTGGCGAGAAGCTTCATCAACCTGATTTCTTTTGGAGATTCTACTTCAAAATGTGGCCTTTAAAACATTCCATGATGAACATCCCACATTTGTCAATAATACTGACAGTTAAGTTCTCATCTTTCTCTGTCCTCAGGGCAAAGTTGGGGGGCCAGCAGGTGTGAGAGGGACACAGTACTAATGGTGTGAATGAAGGCAGTGTGCCCAGACCGCAGTCTTGTTATGACGATTAACCATGTTGCGAGGGTTAAAGTCCAGGTTTAAGTGCTGGGCACGGTACTTGTACCAACCAAGCATTCCATGTCCACTATTATTGGAGGGTTAGTGTGGTCCCAACAGGAATGGGCTAACCCTGCCCTAGGAGCAAGCAGGCTCCTGTCTCCACAGATCTTTTAGCATCTCAGAAAGGGAAGAAGACCAGGATGAAGTTGGTCTTTGTAGGCTAGTAACATTGGAGTTCAGAGAGCTTAAGTCCCTGACACCAAACCTGTGGTGTTGGGGAGAACCCCCTTCATGAAGTCTGGTCCACTGTGATTCTTCCCTGTGTCCTCTGCCTTGTTCCAGCAGGTCAACTGCAGACTTCACTTCTCTGATGCATGACAAGGTAAGACTTTGGCTTTCCTTTGCTTTGAAAGTTCCTTAGGATAACTCAGGGCCAGCAATGCCTGACAGCTTGTCCCAGAGCGTGGCAGCCTCCACAGATGAAGGGTGGACAGGCGCTTGCACAGGCTTGGCTATAAGAAGAGCTAGTTGGCAAGGGCCTTAGCAGTCCCAAACCCCAGCCCCAAATACTAGGTTTGGTCACATAAATACAGGTTAACCTCTTTTCATGATTTACAAGATTCAGCCATCCAGATTTCTAAGAGCCTCAGATACAACCTGAGGATTTTTTCCAGTGAGGATTCTATTTTAAAAATCTTATTAACAGGGACACATTTACAAGGGAAAGCAAAGTTTACCTACACACTGCTACTCAAACTCACCCCGACCCCCTAAAGCTGGCTTTACAGCTCTTGATGAGACATGTAAAACTCCAATAAAACCATGGACTTTGTTATGGTGAGATTTTATTCCATTTTCTTTGTGTTAAAAAAAAAAAATAATAGGACCGGCAGTTGGAGTGATGGTTAAGGTGCTGAACTCTCACATGGTTGAGCATGGTTTGAGTCTCAGACCTGGTGGCTTGCTTTCTCACTTTCTTTCTCTCACATGACCACATAGCATAGCAGATTATAATAATAACAATAAATAAATCAAAAATTTTAAAAATAATAATAATGGACCATCAGGTGGCATGGAAGTTAAGGCGGCTGGATCCCACATGGCCAATGATGCAGTTCAAGTCCTGGACCCAGCGACTTGAAAAACTTGCCAGGCACATGTGTATACCCAAAATCTCAAGAAGAGAATTGAGGAGAAGGGATTGCTGCATGGCCATCCCTCTGGAGGATTATTTCTCACTTTTTCTTTCTCTTTCGCTCTGGCAAGCGCATGTGCCCTATAGCAAACTTGTTTTCTCTTTGAGAGATTTTTGCTATTGGGTGCAAGCACTTTCCAGAGAAACAGAAAGACAGAGAGACAGAAAGTGAGAAATCACCCTCTCAGGGGATGGCCATGCTGCAATCCCTTCTCCTCCATTCTCCTCTCGGGATCTTGGGCATGCATGCAAAAGTGCCTGGCATGAGGTTTAAGCTGCCAGGTCTGGGACCCAAACCATAGTTGACTACATGGGAATCCAGCAATGTAACCATTACAACATCTGCTGATACCGCCCTGTAGTGATTTTTAAAAAAATAATAATAAAAAAGGCTCTTTATTAGCTAATGAAGTCTCCGAAAATCTTGCTCTCCTAAAAACACAGATCCATATTCTGCCATGTTTTAAAAGCCTCTTCAAACAGGGTGTCCGACACCAGGCTGGCAGGAAGCTGTGACAGCAGAGGCAGCCTACCTGAGTGCACTCCAGGACACATTCACTTGGCTCTAGGTCTCTGATTCCCACGGTGCCAGTGTGGGGTGGCCCCGGAATGATTTCATGGTATTTCTCAAGGCACCTGGTTCTCTGCATCTTCCTAATAGTGTGATGGCCTTTGTCCCAGCAGAACATGAATGGAATGCCCACGATCACCACCCCCATCAAAACAGCAAACCAACACCAGGGCAAGAAGCAACACCTGCCCCAGGTAAAGCCATGGCCACTCTGACCCTGTTCCCTCCACAAATGCCTGAGCCTTGAAGTTGTGAGGGTGTCAGGCAAGCGAGCTGTGAGCAAGCACTTTTTTTCCCCTAGTTTTTGCTATAGGGTGCATTCACTCACTAGAGAGACAGAAAGAGAGAGAAATTACTCCCCAGGGGGAATGGCTCTGGTGCAATTTCTTCTCTTCTATTCTCCTCTTGGGATTTTGGGCATGCATACACACACCACACATGCCCAGCATGATTTTCAAGCCTCCTGGATCCAGGACTTGAACCATGCAGCTGGCCATGTGGGATCCAGCGCCTTAACCTCCATGCCATCTGTTGGTTCAAAGCAGTCACTTTTTTCTTTTAAGAGGTTTTTGCTATAGGGTATGTGCACTTGCCAGAAAGAGAGATGGAGACATGAGTGGGAAAGAAAGAAACCTGCCCCCAGGGGAATGGCCATGCTGCAATTCCTTCTCCTCCATTCTCCTGGGATCTTGGGCACGCAAACATATGCATGATTTTCAAGCCACCAGGTCTGACACTCAAACCATTGGTCAGGCAGTGGCTTCCAGCAACATAATCACTATGCCATCAGCCAGTGGCTTCCAGCAACATAATCACTATGCCATATGCTACCCCCGGGACCAGGCACTGTTTAACCATGTTTCTGGCCTGTATGTATCATGGAAGAAAAACACCTAGCTCACTTGACTTTGACAAGATTTCCCACCACCTGAGCTCCGTTCCGTCAACTATAAAAACAGAGGTTGGCCTAGATCGGAGGTGCTCACATTATTCTTCAAAAAGTGCTTCCGGGACACTGCAGATGTTTTGAGTATCCTGAAATTGTAAATCTACTATTTTTCTGTATGAATAAGAATAATTCTGTTATTATCCCACTGAAATAAAACACAGAGGTCAAATGCATCTTAGGACTGATATAAAATCAAAGCTGTCACTATGCTTTGAAATGTCTGCATTCATCAAAACAGTCTCAACATCCATCATCATTATCATAAATAACCAGCACCATTTATTAAATGCTTATTTTGTACCAAGCACTGTGCTAAGTGGTTCTCTCTAGTCTTGGGTCAATGAGGTGGCAAGTTCAAATTCTATATTTGCAAATGAGGCAGAGAAATGAAATCATGCACCCTACGCCAGAGGGTGAATGAAGGGAGCATCCTGATTCAAATCCAAGTCTCTCTGACCACACACAACGGACTCCCTAGTATTCTTTCAGTTACAGAATAGATGACAATTAAATGTTCCGTTTGTTTTATATTTTGAGGTTCAATGTAAAATTTTATTGAAAGAAAGGATCAAGGAAAACCACTGGCCCCAGAGTATATGTGAGTTCTTTTCCAGCTCCGAACATGGATCTTTCAGAGAAGTTTGGAAAGGTTCCACCTTACTTTGGCCCTCCGGGCAGATGGGACTTTGAGAAATGTGGCATGGTGGCCTTACCCCATTGGTTTTCTTGTGACCTGACTTGTTCACCTTTATGCCACACCTCTTCTGGTCTCATAAAGAATTAAGGAGGGCAGCCAGGCCTAGAGGGGGCAGGGACACTTGCTTCTTTAGTTCATACTTGAGACAAGAAGTCAGCAAATGTCTTTGACCCTGACAAGCTGTCATCTGGACCACGCAGGGTCTAAGAGGACCTTGAAAAGACTGAGACTTATACACAAGAGGGAAGGAAAAAGTAGGTAGGAAAATCCATAGGAAATAAAGAGAAAAGAGTTAGGGAGGGAGGAGATAATAATATATTTCAGCCCTCTTCCCAATGAAAGCTAGGCTTTTTTCTGTAACCTGAGCTTTACTTTAGCTATCTCCACATCAGGACTGTCATTCTAACTCCACACAGAATAACCATCTTCTGTTCCTTATTCAAACAGAGTGGACATCAACCAGTTTTACTGGAGTCAAGTGAAAACGAACCACACTATCCATGCGAATAACAACATTAATAGCAACAAGAATGACAGTAGCTTACCATTCATCGAATGCTAGGAAGTGTTCTAAATGCTTTACACACACGACTTCACTTATTCCTCATGACAATCTGAGACAAAATCTAGTTTTCCACATTTTTCAGAGGAAGAAACTGTAGCTCAGAGGCATGCCCCAGTTGGTCATTGGTAGAAATTGGGACTTGTCTTTCTGACGTTCAAGCTCAAAGCCTTTCCACTGTGCCCTGGTGCCTCCATGTCACTCAGGCTTCGTGTCAGACAGCCCAAGCCAGGCTGCAGAGACTCACTGATTTTTTCTGTGGTAGGAAAAACCATTAGTCCTGCCCACCAGTCCCAGGAACCAGGAGCTGAACCGAAAGTACAAGTCCCAGCACGACCAAATGATCTGCAAGTGCCTCTCGCTGAGCATATCTTACGCTGCGACCATCGGCGGCCTGACCACCATCATCGGGACCTCCACCAGCCTCATTTTCCTGGAGCACTTCAACAAGTAAGTAATCCACTGGGTCAACAAATACTTACTAACCGCCTGTGATGGGCCAGAAACGTGCTAGGGAGAGAACAGAAAACGAAATAAACTAGAGTAGGTTCTGTACTGAGAGGGAAAAATCAGTTCATGACAGTTAAGTGCAACAGGAAAAGCCCTGTGGGGAGAGCTCATCGCACATTCTTCTGGAGGGAGGAAGAGTCTCCCCAAAGAGACAAAGATGAAGTGAAAGCCTGACGGATGGGCCGCAGGAAATGAAAAGAAAGGAGATTTCCCAGACAAAGGAGACAGTGTATAGGAGGGCTCTGAAAATGGCAGAGGGCAAAAAGAGTCAGGGAGGTGGATGGACAGATCACAAAGGCCTTGGCGAGGCTCACGAAGGGACTTGGCTTCATTCGAAGGGTCGTGAGAAGCCCTGAAAGAATTTTACAGTAGTGAGGTGATCTTGGCATTGGTGAACAGGCCACCCCCAAAGTTCATTCTGTTTCAAAATACCTACAAATTAATTGTTAAACTGTTATTGTACTAATTTGTATATGTACACACACACACACAAAAGGGAGGTCTTCAAGAAGTTCATGGAAAATGTATATTGTGAAAAAATAATGTATAGATTTCAAAATAATTTTGCCCCAAATAAACTTATACTTTAATTTCATTTTTTGGGCTGGCCTTGTGGCCTAGTACTTAAGGAAGCCAGATATCACGTAACTGACAGTGCAGTTCAAATCTTGGCCCTAGGAGCTTGAAAAATACTTTAGGCATGTGTGGGTATACATGCCTAAATAGGATAGGGAGATGGAGAAGAGACGGTGGCATGACCATGCCCCATGGGGGGAACTTTCTTTCTCTCCCTCTGTCTCTCTTTGGTGAGTGCACACCCTCTGGCAATGTTTTTTTAAGTCCATTTTTCCACAAATTTTTTGAAGTCCCCATGTATTATTATCATTATCTCTACCCCTTAGCTCTGGCTCCCTAAAAAGCACTTGGCTGGACCAACAGGTGGCATGGTGGTCAAGGCACTGGACTCCTATATGGAGTTTGAGTTCCGCACCTGGCAACTTGAAAATTATGCCAGGCATGTGTGCGTGCGTGCCCAAAATTCTGGGAGGAGAATGGAGGAGAAGGGATTGTGGCATGGCCATTCCCCCAGGGGTGATTTCACAATTTTCCTCTCACTATCTCTCTTACTTTCTCTGATGAACACATGTGTCCTATGGCAAAAAGCTTATAAAAAATAATTTTTAAAGCATTTGGCTTATCACCCAACATACAGAAATGCTGCGTTTCTAACCACTAACCTGGTCTTTACCCTCCAGCCAGTACCCAGCCGCAGAGGTGGTGAACTTTGGCACCTGGTTCCTCTTCAGCTTCCCCATATCGCTCATCATGCTGGTGGTCAGCTGGTTCTGGATGCATTGGCTGTTCCTGGGCTGCAAGTGAGTCCCAGGGCCCTACCATCCCAGCCCATGCATGGCACACACCCCTGGTGGGAGGAGTGTTAGGAATGACACCAGGGAGCAGTATCAAGCAGTCTCAGCATGTCCCGAGGAGAATGCAGGGGACTAGAATGGAAGACAGTTGCTGTCTGTTCTTTGTACTCTACCCACCCGTGAACTCCATGCCTCATGCTCAGCTCTACAGTGAAATGTTATTAATTCCAACTTAATGTTAGAGGGCATGTCAGATTTATAAAAAGTCTAACTAGAAAACGTTAACGTGGATTCATTGCTCTCAAAGCACAAAGAGTAATCCCAACTATTCTGAGAACTATGCCTATGAAGAGAATTTGTCTTAGTTTGTATGGAATACAGTCATATCCTTCAAGGTAACTAGTTAGACATTTCTCTTACAGTTTCTCACAGTAACTTGTCTAGTAAGGCTGTTCTTCATAGCTGTTAGTCTACTCTAAATTTGATCAGTTTCAAGCACATAAATGGAAGATACCCATGATGGTTTGCTATTAGTCCATGGAACTCAACCAATTCCACTGGTCAAGGAACATTCTCTGAACTAACTGACTTTTATTTTTATTCAGAGACTGTGGTCAAAGCATGATGGTTATATACCTCTCCATCTCTGGTATTTTAACATAAAACCAACACTCACTTTTACCCCAGACAAGTCTTTCCTCTAGGATACACACCACACCACACACACACACACACACACACACACCCAAGTATATGTGAAACAAACAGACTTGTAGACACATATACTACCTCACACTGATTCTTTTACTCATGTACAGATAAGTACATGAACACAACTCTGCAGAAAACTCTGCACAAGTCCCTAAGACATAACTTCACACTGTCATGCTAGAGATGGACCCAGATAGACAGACCCAAAGACTAGGGGTGAAGGCTGATGGTATCAAGCAGTCTCAGAGCATGCCCCAAGGAGAATGCAAGGGACTAGAATGGGAGACAGGTGCTGTCTAGGTAACTTGACAGATAAAAAGTTGTATGAATCAGCCAGGTGCTGTGGCAGGAAGATTATGAGTTAGAGACCAATCTAAGTCACATAGTGAGACCCTGTTTCTAAAATCAAAAAGGAGGGACCTGCAGTTAGTGTAATGGCTATGTCGCTGGACTCCCACATAGTTGACCACGGTTCGTGTCCTAGACCCGGTGGCTTAAAACTCACGCTGGGCGCATGTGCGTGCGTGCCCAAGATCCCGAGAGGAGAATGGAGGAGAAGGGATTACAGCATGACCATCCGCCCTGGGGGGAGATTTCTCGCTTTCTGTCTCTATGTCTCTCTCTGTCTGTCTGGCGAGCGCACGTGCCCTATAGTGAAAACCTCTCCAAAATAAATAAATAAATAAATAAAATAAATAAAATCAAAAAGGAAAAAAGAGGTTGCAGGGATGGGTTGGGGACAGTGGGACAGAGTGTGTAAGAGGAGAAAAGTGATCACAGAAGCAAGTGGTTTAATACTCATTATATTTGATCTCCTCTGGGCCTCAGAGCATGTTTTCTTTATTCACTTGCTCACTCTCCCCTCTCAGTTTTAGAGAGACCTGCTCTCTGAGCAAGAAGAAGAAGACCAAAAGGGAAGAATTGTCAGAGAAGAGGATCCAAGAGGAATATGAAAAGCTGGGAGATATTAGGTAAAAAAAAAATCTGCCATTCTCCTCTCCTCTCCAGAAGAGAAAACTCAGCAGGTAAAGTGAGCACAAAAGTAGCCTTGTTCTTGACAACCCCTGATGCTGGGAGAATTTTCCACAACTAGGAATCCAGGCACTGAGAAGATGCTATTTACTGCTAACGCCCAGCTGGCCTGGATTTCAGGCGGCCACCCTTCCCTTTTGCCGTACTCAGAGTCTGAGGCATAGCCATGGTATGAGGATGGACTGTCGCGGGTAGGGATGGGGACAGCTCAGAAAGGAGACGGAAAGACAGCACAGCCTACTCTTGCAACATGCTGAATCCCCTGAGTCAGGGCTCTTCATAGTGCTCAAACAAACCACAGCAAGGGCCCAGGAGCCGCTGTACTACACTGAGAGCTAAGGCAGCTTCAAATATAGGCTGAAGACAGAGAGTCCCTGAAATCTCTAGCCACCCCTCCCTCAGCCACAGCAACCCAGCATTCCACTTTTATGGCAAGTGGCATATACAACATTGAGTAAAATATCCAGGTAGAAACTACATTTATTTATATTTTATATTTTTGCCAGAGGGCACGTGGACCCACCAGAGATAGTGACAGAGAAAGAGGGAGAGAGATAAGGAAAGTGAGAAAGCACTCCTCATGAGGGATGGTCATGCCACCACAGTCCCTTCTCCTCCACCTCTCCCTCTATTCAGGATTTTGGGCACACACACATGCACCCAGTTTCTTAAGCCACTGGACCCAGCACTCAAATCACACAGTTGGCTATGTGGGATCCAGCCACCTCAACCACACCAGTTTGACTCAGAAACAACATTTTTTAAAGGTTATAAAAGGAATACTTATTCACTATAGAGTATTTAGAAAAAAATAAAGTATAAGAGAAACATTAAAATGGGCTTGTATTCTTAACATTCCAGCATTAACAAATATATTTGGGTACTTCAAAAGTTCAAGGAAAAGTAAAACTAAAGTAAGAGCTTATCTTGGTACAAAGAAGTTTTGAAATCCATGGACAGCTTTTTCATAACACATATTTTTCATGAACTTTTTGAAGACTCATCGTATTTCTTTCCATGTTCTTCTGTGCAAAATCTTATGTATTCCTGGTAAAGTTCAGTGTATACTAAACATAGGTTTATATTTTGCCTATTTTTACTTGGCATTATATTGTCATTATTTTCCCATGTTATTAACAGTGGAAACATGATAATTAATGGATGTGTTCCATTTCGACACATGGTTGTACCAAAATGTGTGCAGGGTCATGGAATATCATTGAATGTATGGGTTGTTTCCATTTTATAATGGGTAATGTTTCAAATGTATGTTTCTGGGTTTTTTCCCTAGAGAAAGGAATGACTAAGTTTATGGCTCCTTGTTGTACACTGTTTAATGACCTCAACGGCTGTACTAATTTCTACTCACACCCCCAACAGCGTCTGAGGGTACCCTGTTTACACCATTCTCCTTGAAGGCTGTATAGTACCGTGTTCTCTTTCTTTTCTCACCTAAATGTCTCCGGTAAACATGGTTTAATATCATATCCTCTGGCTTTGCTCAGTCCCCTTCCCTTTTCACTGCCAGCCATTCAGTAGCTAAGATGAACTATGTTTTATGTCTCAGGGACTGGACCTATGAATACATGAGCTTCCAGAACCAAAGTGAAAAAGTCAGAAGAAATGTTCTAGTCCTGCAGTAGCTCTTGCTTTTTCTTTTTTTCTTTTAAAATTTGCCAGGAGGGCGTGTGTGCTTGCTGGAGAGAGACATAAAGATGGAGAGAGACAGAGAGAGAGAGAGGGAAAGTGAGAAAGCGCCTCCCACAAGGAATGGTCACACTGAGGAACAGTCACACAGCCCTTTTCCTTCATCTCTCCCTCATTTGGGGATTTTGGGCACACGCAGACATGCACCTGGCATGTTTCTCAAGCTGCTGGGCCTGGGACTTGAACCACATGGTCAGTCGGGTAGGATCCAGCCACCTTAACCACCAGACCATAGGCTGGCCCTGGAGTGGGTCTTTCTGTTTTATTCATAGCTACCCTGAAATGGTGACTGGATTTTTCTTCATCCTGATGACCGTGCTATGGTTTACCCGGGAGCCTGGCTTTGTCCCTGGCTGGGATTCTTTCTTTGAAAAGTAAGTCATATCATTTCCTCCTTAAGTAGAGCCTCCTCACCCAAATTGTACACAGTAACTGTAGATGTCCCCGTAGACTCTTAGTGAAAGACAGGAAGCCGGGAGGCATTGTTCCCTGAGAAATCTGCTCTTTTTAGGGGAGCTCAGTATGCAGTCAAGAAGAAAAGCTAGTCTGGGTTGGGACCAAGTGCAGCCACTTCCCAGCTGTGTGACCTTAGTTGGAACCTCAGTTATCTTATAGGTTACTATGAGAGTGAAAGGAGAAAACCATAAAGTAAAACATGTACTGTAAAAGAGCGGCCAGGAGCACCTGAGGCCTGGGAGAGGTACACATAGGTTCCTCTACCACCCGCATATTCCCTGAGGGCCAGGGCCACAGGCAAAGCCACAAGCTCTCCCTACACCAACTTCTCATTTGGAAAGGGACACACCTGGTGGTGTGGCCCTCATGGGAAACAATCTTATCTTTTCCTACCCTCCTTTATCTAACTACTTCTGATCACCTCTTTAGGGACTACCCCCAAGTAATGGGTCCATAAATTCACATTAAGACATCCACCCTAGCCAGGTGGTGCCTCAAGACATTAACCATGGCCCATTAAATCCACTGTGGGATAGCATACCAGCAGCTGGCAAAAAGGAATGAGGCTGCTGTCACCTCTAGACTAGGTCTATAAAGAGGCGCGCGATCAGGCAGGCTGTCCTGAGGTCCCATATGTCAGTCCAAAGATTCTCCACACTCCTCCTCCTCCAGTCAAATTTCTCTCTTTGCTAGGAAAGGCTACCGCACTGATGCCACAGTCTCTGTCTTCCTCGGCTTCCTCCTCTTCCTCATTCCAGCAAAGAAGCCCTGCTTTGGGAAAAAGAGTGATGGTGAGAGAACGTTTTGGAGAAGAAGTGGGGGCTGGCACAAGGCAAAGAATACCCAAGTCGGAACTTGCCTAAAGAGCCTGACCAAGGCCTTTCAGATAGATTACCTTCCCCCCAAATAGCAGGGCAGTCTCCTAAATCATGCAGTTCATCAGTCAAGTCCCCATCTCCACAAATTATGCCCATCGAGATTTATCTGGTTCCACATCTCTTTCTCCTCATAATCCAGGGGGCAACCAGGAACCCTGTCTGAGGACAGAGCCCATCATCACTTGGAAGGACTTCCAGAAGACCATGCCCTGGGAGATCGTCATTCTGGTGGGAGGAGGCTATGCTCTGGCTTCTGGTAGCAAGGTAACCCTGGAATTTCTTTGTTCTGGGTCAAATATTTTTATAGCCACTTTACCTAACAAGTCATCAGGACCTTGGGAGTGAAATGCCAAAGGAGCTAAGGGGTACATGTTCACTGGATCACTGGTGGATGTCCTCTCCTGCTCTGAGCTGCACAGTTAGCACTGCTGGAGACAGAACTACAGATGAGCAGTGCCACAGTCAGGACACATGGACAGTCACACCTCCCTTACAGGGCCCATGCTGCCACAGCAAGAGGTTGATTCCATTATGCAGCCATCTCCTTCTGGATTCTGACAGTGGTACACAGTGATTCACAGTGAATTGATACACAGGCAGTTGTCCCTCAATTAGTCCATGTGCATGAGTCCCTTTGGAAAATCTACATTAAAATTTATATAAATGTTTCTTGACTTCCTGATTGGGAAGATTTGGGATGAGATCTTTGAGGTGGGGCGGGGGGGGGGGGGAAGGGGGGAATTTCCT